CGGGAGAGGGCGAGGGATGTAAGCTGTGGGAGAAGATGGAGCGATGTTTAGCTCTGGATATGGATATGGAGATGGAGACGATGTAAGCTGTGTAATTTGGAATGGATTTTAAAATCCCGTGTATTTTCAAAGGATTTCCAAATCCATCGTTCATGGGATTTCAAAGGAATCATTGGATTTCAATTTCTCACAATCCAGCAAACCAAACACTGGATTGGAATGGATTTCAAATCCAAATCCCCCCAATTCCATTCCAATCCAGCAAACCAAACGCACCCTTAGGTTTTCTTCAAAACCTAACTTGTGAGTTCACTCCAATCTTTTCAAAAAATTTATACATGTCAAAATGTTATATTTTAGTCTCCTAAAACATCCCTCTTGTTAGAAAAATGTATTTTAAACACATAGATGCTATTTTGAGACTTGAACATCATGAATTTATAGTATTCTTGATATTTACATATTTGGAGTTATTTCATGAAAATGGGTATATATTTGGATTAAGAAATGTTACTACTTGTAAATCAAAACTATTCTTGAAATTATGAACTCTTGGAAAATGGCGATGCAAGTAATATTTTATTTGAGTAAGAAATGATTTATTGGAAGTTATAGGGACTTTGTCCTATTTGGTAATATTGTATTAAAAAGATTTTATGAGGGCATTTGAAAGATGAAAATTATGAATATAGTTGGTCACTTTAAAGTTGTGACCTATTTAGACTGTAATGCATTATATCCATAGACGTAGGAGTCGGTTTTTATTTAAGTGGGATGGTCTTCCTTTTTGTAACTAGAAATAGGAATTGGGTCATCGGGGGCAATTTAGTACGGACCCTGGGAGCCGGATACTAGCCATTTACCACATGATGTAATTTCTAGTAATGAGTATAACTAGGATCATCGGGGGCCTTGAACTATGAATTATGGTTGGTCGAAACTATTGGCTATTGATACTTAGTTTAAGCTTTATAATGTAGATTATGGTCTACTTTTGTGTTCCGCCACTACCAATGGAAAATCGTGTCTCCCCCATTATTGTAAGATGTATTTTGGACCTTATGGTCTTATTCTGAAGGTTTGAAACTTGGGTTATAAATTAAGCTTATAAATTTTTACCATTTTGGTTATTTTCATTATTTATAACTGTTTGGACCCATTAGGCGTCAAAAGTAACATCTTTTTCTTAAATAACATGTATATCATGTTCACTTAGCGGTGGAGCTCTGAAGTTTTGAGCGAAGTGTTTGGATGCCCGTAAAGGCACTTTTGTGATGATTAATGATAAATGATATTTTATGCATTTTAATGTCGGAATTACCTATCAATCATTATTAATTGGATGTTAGAAATGGTTAATTTAAGTTGAGTTGGTAATTATTTGTATCTAACCAATTAAGTTGGGAAGAAAAAAAGGAGGAGGTTTTTTTTTAAGGTTTACATTATCATGGGCACTTGGCAACCCAAGAATGCAAAGCCCAGAAGAAGCTGCTCAGCCTCAGCAGCAGCAGAAAGAAGAAGAAGCCCAGCAGCAGCGACGTCCAGGTCCAGGGTGGCAGAAACAGACAGGGACGCGAACTGGAAGTCGATATAGAGAGGCAGAAACTGTCGATTTCAACGAGGGGCAGAACCCGAGCAAACAGAGATACGATCGAGAGCAGAACAGAAGTCGATATTTTGAGCAGACATAGACCGAGGGAGAAAGTGCAGAACCAGAAATCAAAGAAGGCTCGAGGAAGAAAAAGCAAAAATTGTTGATCGAGATGAAGAAGACATAAACGGTTGATTAGAAGCAGTTTTCGAGCAGGCTAGAACCAGAAGTCGATTAGGAGAGAAAAGGCAGAAACGATTGGAAAGAGAAACTGAAATCAAGGACATGATTCCGGAGGTGGAGATCGATCAAGACATAAATCAAAAGGGAGAACCCAAGGACCGATTTCCAGGTTCGAAGAGCATTTTTGGAGACGATTTCTAAGCTTCCTAATCAATTTCTCGGGTTTCAATCAATACGTAAGTTTACATATTTTAGACATGAGTAGATAATCTTTTAATTTCTAGCAATGAACATGTGATTCTTTGAATTTGGATTTGTTGAGACTTACGTTGAATATAACATCATTTAAAGCCATTATGTGATTTTAGAGTTAAACGTTTAACGTTTTGAGTTGGATATTTTAAGTAGGATCCTTTATATGTTTGATTCAATTTCGATTCGCTAGGTGAACCGTTAAGTTTGTTATGAGTAACTGTTAAGTAGGATTTGAATCACCAACCGATCACCGCCATCTGAACCACTGCCTGATCACCATAATCTTGGCTTAGCGCTCATATTCATTTTTCGTCCTGTTGAAGAAATTCGGCATGATGGTAGTAAAGTAGAAAAATCCAGACCCGGAAAGGGGAAGGGCCAGTGGTGGGAATTTGGTAAAAGATTTACAATCGAGAGAAATCGGATAATTTATTTGCCCATTTTCAGTCAATCATGGAACACCTCTCATGCGCTATGACCCGTGGCTGTCTGCCTGGTGGGGACGGCTCCCCCGTTGTGGGTGACCACCGCCACCTGAAGCACCACATACTACCATCGATCTAAACCACTGCCGATCACCGTTGATTTAGTAACATCTTTTGGCTTATGGTAATATTTGGGTTGTGTATTTTATATTGTTTTACATATTAAATAGTTATTTTATTAAAGCATTTTAAGCTTTAAAAAAATTAAAATTTTCAAAAAAAAGCATTTTGGTCATTTACCAATATTTCATTCAAATTCCAAAGCTACATTATGTGAACCAAACAAACAGATTCTAATTTTTTAACATATTCCATTGCAATGTCTGTCAACCAAACATGTGATCAAACATAACAACATTTCATTCAAATTCATTTAAAATCAAATTTCTTTAACAAATTTCATTTCATTCAAAAACATTTTACGAACCAAAAACAAACTTAGGTTGGTAAAATAAAGTGTCAAAAGGTTTGGTCGAAATTTATGTACATAATATTAAAGATTTGAGCTAACGAGAGCAAGTCCCAATTTTAAAATTTTTCCATTAAAGCCTTCTTTACTTAACTTTCAGAATATTGCACAATAGGCCCTTCTCCTTTTCACTCCCCACATTTTTGGTCCAATTAAACATAGTTTTCATACTTAAATTATTCCATTCCAATTTATTTATTCAAAATAAATAAACGACATCTGTCATCGTTCCCTGTATGATTTTCGGGTCCAAATTAAATAAAAAATATTTATTTCTTTTCACTTGCACAATTATTTTCATAAGTATTTATTTATTCCTGTTTTAGGGTGTTACAAAAAATTAACGAATCAGAATATGATATGTCAAACTGATCATAAACAAAATCAGATTTTCATATCAAAGATTAAACCAACCAATAGATCATGTCCAATCTCGAGTTTGAATGGAAGCTTAAACATGTATTTTGTGTCGTGCAAATACATAAAGCAGATAGTTAAACATAAGTTGTCACTTAGGGGCCGTTTATCAAAAACTTATCCGGTAAGCGCTTACCGGTAAAATTTAACACTATTATTTACTCATCGGATAAGATTATAGTTTATCAAAACGACATCGTATGCAACAATTTACCCGGTAAACTCTTACCGTGGTAAGAGTCATCGCCCTCACTTACCGGATAAGACTTTTGGTTCTTGTCTCGTTCTTACCGGGTAAAATTATTGATCTTTACCATACTCATCCGGTAAGGTAATTTGACTTGATTTTCACTTACCCTGATAAACGTTTTGTAAACGGTCTCTTAGATATGCAATTAGGACACGTGGACCCGAATGTCCAATGAAAAAATGGGCACGATGAGTTTATAATTCAGTTCCACCAACCAAAACACCAATTCTTAATGGAAGCAATATGTGGGACTAAATTGAAAAAGAAAATTAAACACTAGGATAAAAATGTAAATTTGATTTCTGAAAAGGACAGAGCTACAAAATGTAGTTCACTCTGGATGCTAAAACATAAACAAAAAGGATTACTCCACAGCCAAGCAACACAATTGCTTCCACATTTCCGATACCCTTTCTCCAACTAAGATAATACCGCCGGCACGGCAAAATTCCGGCGCCGGCTCAGATGACCCAAACAGGTCCTCGGAGAATCCAAAACTCCGGCGTCCTGGAAGATGAATCACGGGAACAAGCCCAATCTTCTACGACAGGTATGAGGCTCATTGTACCCTTGCAAGGGATAGTTCAAGGTAGAGGTGGCTTAATTTTAGGTTCAGTTATTCCATGTGCTATGTTCTACTTCCTTCAATTCTACCTCAAACGACGTCGTTCGCCGCCGAATCCGCCGCAAGAGCACACCTCGAACCCTCCGTCGCCGACTGCTTCGTCGGCGGAGCTGTCTAGGTCAGCTTCCCGGTCTAATTTGTTGTCACGTGGCTCTATTGTTAGGCCTCACGTGTCTGCTAGGGTTCATTCTATTGCCAAAGCGAATGATTCGCCTTATTACATTGGATTGGACAAAGCTTCTGCAGATCCTTACGACGGATTGAATAACCCCAACGGTGTTATTCAGCTCGGATTGGCTGAAAATCGGGTATAATTTTATGTGTTTTTAGTAATATATTTGGATATAACCAACCTGCTATAATCATTTACCACCTTTTGGCTTTTGAATTGTAATTAGGCGTGTGTTTTTGGTGATTGCAGCTCACACTGGATTTGATTGAAAATTGGATTACTGAAAAATTAAGCGACTCCATACTTGGTGGAGGAGATAGCATGGGAGGGTCGAGTGTTAGTTCCATTGCTACGTACCAGCCGTTTGATGGAATGATGGAGTTAAAAGTGGTAAAATGTTTTTACTCTCTATGATTCCTTAATCATCAAACTTGAAAGAATGTTTCTTTAACAATTCTCATCGCTAGCATTTTCATCACTATTTAAGGATTTGAGTAGTTGTGATTAATAGTAATATTGAGTCTAGTTATGTAATGATCTTAGAAATGGCTATTCGTAGGTGGCTGCTGGTTTCTAATACGGTCATTTAGCTTTTGATTGTGAAATGGGGTGGAGATGAAATTTGGACTATGACCTCTTGAAGTTTTATCTGCAGAACTATATTTTAGCATAGAATTTTACGGGGTGGTTGGTGTTGTATACTTGTTGATGGTAGAATTTGTATAGGCTATGGTTTATTGCCTTGATAACTTTAAAAAACACAACCGGTTTGTAGACATCACCGTCGTTTTTGAGCATGAAGGTTGCGACATGCAGAATTCGTCATAGGGAGGAAGTATAGATATACAACTAAAACGAAGATTAGTTCTTGAATTTGTGTCGGAGGCAGACAGGAGCCTTGATGATATTAAAGTTCAAACTTCACATGCTGGACTAATTTGGAGCTCCTTGATTCACTCTGAAAAGATTCTAACCGGAGATTAGTATTGTGATGTAAGACGTAGAACAGATGAAGTAATACCCGTCTTTAATTGCATTGCTTTTTTTTTTTAAATTAATTGTAACGCCAATGCTAGGATGAATACGAGGTTGGATGAAATACTGTGTTGGATTGCAATCATCATTTTGATCATGCCAACTGATGAGGAATATAAGATTATGTTACAGTTCATGTTTAGGTTCTTTAGGATAATTAATAAGATAATATTTGGTATGTACCTGTATCATTTATTCTTATTGTAGTTAAGATAATCACCATTTTTGTTGTTAGGGTAGATATCTATCTTTAAGAGACATTGTTAGATGACTGAATTATGTTTGAGTGATCAAAGACTCACGAGGGTTCTATTTGATTGTATGAAACACTCAACCTAGGTGAGATGCCTTAGGTTATCATGTCCATGATGCTGAAGGGATCCAATAAATTGTAGGTGGTGTGGTGTGGGGTACTTACAACTCATTCTTTGTGTCTGTATGTAGTTTGCATGATTCTGGAGCTTGCTTCTTTATATTTTAATCTTATATATCATGTTATGTATGCTAGGCAAAGGATCGTGTGAGAAGGAGAGTTAAGGTGAGAAGCGTAAGAAGGGATCTGGACCCTTGATCACTTTTAATCTCAAACCCACCCATGAATCTCATTTGATACGGGGATTGATCTGGTGCATCTCGGTGCATCTCATCCTAATGTGCATCTAAGGGTGGATATCCCTTCTTACGCTTCTCACCCTAACTCTCCTTCTCACCGGAACCCAACCCATGTATGCTATTACTATTTATTTATACTGAATTATTGTGATCTTTGTTTGTATGATAGTTGCCTGATTTATGTTCTTTTTCCTTTTCTTCTTGGCAGGCCATGGCTGGTTTCATGTCACAAGTTGTGGGAAGAACTGTGTCGTTTGATCCATCACAAATAGTGTTAACATCTGGGGCAACTCCTGCTATCGAGATACTTTGCTTTTCTTTGGCAGACCAAGGAAATGCATTTCTTATACCTGCTCCATACTATCCTGGGTAATTTTTATGCATTTTTGGTTTAAGAATTACAATATCAATTAGCATGTGTTCTCTAGAAACACTTTAGATCATATAACTCGAAAGCAAACCCGCAGGTTCGACAGAGATATGAAATGGCGAACAGGGGTGGAGCTAATCCCTGTTCATTGTCGTAGCTCTGACAACTTCACTTTAAGCATTCCCGCTCTTGATCAAGCTTTCAATCAGGCAAGGAAACGAGGACAAAAAGTCCGAGGAATCCTATTGTCTAACCCTTCTAACCCTGTTGGGAATCTGATGACCAGGGAAACCCTTTTCAGTCTCTTAGACTTTGCCAGAGAGAAGAACATCCATATTATATCCGATGAACTATTTGCTGCTTCAACCTTTGGAGATGAGGAGTTCGTTAGCATGGCAGAAATTATCGACTCACAAGATGCTGACAAGGATCGGGTTCATATTGTATATGGACTCTCGAAAGACTTGGCTCTTCCAGGCTTTCGAGTTGGGGTTATATATTCATACAACGAAAGTGTTCTGGCTGTGTCTAGAAAGATGACAAGATTTTCTCCAATATCGGCTCCAACCCAACGGTTAGTAACTTCAATGCTTTCAGATACGACATTTATCAAGGAACATACTGAAAGAAACAGAGAGAGGTTACGGGCTATGTATGATTTGTTTGTGGAAGGTCTTAAACAATTAGGAATCGATTGTACAAAGAGCAGTGGAGGTTTGTACTGTTGGGTTGATATGAGTGGACTAATTCGCCCTTATAATGAGAAAGGGGAACTTGATTTATGGGATAAGCTATTGAATGTAGGCAAGATTAACGCTACCCCTGGTTCCGCTTGCCACTGCATTGAACCTGGATGGTTCAGGTGTTGTTTCACCACATTAGACGAAAAAGATATCCCTGTAGTCATAGAACGGATCCGTGGAGTCATTGAAACCTGTAAATCCCCCTCCTGAAATGCTTTGAAGTCAAAGAAGTGAAATTAAGACGTCTGAATCTTGATGGCATTGCCTCAAAGGTATCGATGGATTCAGTGTTAGCCACGTGATATGGTATTTATTATGGAAAGGTGAACTTCGGCTATATACCATTGTTACCAAGAACTGAAAACTGGGCTTGGAAGACGACAAGTGTGGAGGGTGTGTGTGGAATCCGTTTTAGCCTCATCCTCTTTCTCTCCCGGGGCTCCATGCAGCAGGCAAGGTTAGATTCTTGAAAAGATTGGTAGGTTTAGTTCTTGTGGGATGATGTTTTCATTCGTTGTCGTGTAGCGGAAGTCACCGATTTAAATTGTAGGGAATAAGAACCAATTATGTTGATTTTACATGCTTCGGGTTCAACCGTACAAATACAACTCATTTTTTGTTCCAAGATTAGCATATCTTGGTAACTTGTTCAGTTCATCATTTTGAATATTTGGGTTGGTTTATAATTAGTTTTGCGGTTTAGTTCGGTGTAAGAAGCTGAAACCCATGTAGGATGGTTAGATACATATTCTGAGAAAAGAGCTGGAAACCGAACCAAACGAACATGTAAGTTAACCCGAAGGTGGGGTTGGGGAAAGGATGTACGCATACCTGACTTGTACCTTGGAGATAAGAGACTGTTTCCATGACGGAGTCTGGCTTATAGAAAGAGTATGGAAAGAAAGGATGAAGCTTGCTAAAAAAAATACACAGAAAGAACATAAGAAGAAGAGAAAAACCAAAAGGTAGTGGTATTAATCGGAAACGAGTTACAAGTAAGCAACACCGATCAGATCAGACAAACATATAACAAGTAGAACATAAGGACAAGTACAAGAAAACATAAGGTAGGAATAACCACACATCCTTAACCTAACCTAGGACTAACAAGATTAAGGGGACATTTGCCTAAATACTTACCCCGCTAAGTGCTTAACGATAAAATTCAACTTTTTCTCTTGTTTATCGCGTAAAATTTTAGTCTACCAAAACGACATCGCATGTGGTAAGAGTCGTCGCCATCACTTACCGGGTAAAACTCTTAGTTCGTGCATGCGCTCTTACCAGGTAAGATTTTTGGTTCTTGTCATATTCATCCGGTAAGGAAATGTGACTTGATAAGTGCTTACCCGAGTAAGCATTTGGTAAACGGCCCCTAAGGGTTCGTTCACTAAACGTTTTTCTGGTAAGTGCTTACTAGGTCACTTTATCTTATTGAGTGAACTTAACAATTGATTGAAAATCTTACCTGGTAAGTGAGAGTGATGACTCTTACCTGACAACTACTTACCGAATAAACGTGTTCCATATGACTCGTTTTAATGCACTAAAATCTTACTCAATAAGTTAAGTCAAAAAAGTGTTAAAGACTCTTAGGGGGTGTTTGGTTGTGGTAGCCATGAGAATTGGTCCCGACCCGTGGGGGAACCCGGTCCACCTGCCTCGGGACGGGGATTCCCCGTTAAACCGGGTCTTGGGGATCCCTGTTTGGCTCAAACCGGGATGGGGACAGGGACGGGTATCCCCCGCCCCTCCCCCGCATATATATACACACACACACTAGAAGGGTACTCGCGCAATGCAGCGAGAAAAATTTCGATTTTAATGTTTCATTTTATTCTGTCTCTGTCGATGTTATAATACGATTTTATGTGGTACCAAAAAAACGATATTATTTTTAATTTTTGGAATCAAATGTAAATTTGAAGATATCATAAAATTTAGAAAAAACATATATCGATTTTTGTATCAAATTAAATATTTAAAAGTTCTTGTTTTTTTTTGTAATTTCTTTAATTCTATTTTTTATTATAATTTAATTAGATTTAATAATGAAGTCATTTATTTTTAGTTTAATAATATAATTCTTTTATAAAGATAATATTTAGTATTTTGAATTGAATGATTATTTTAAATATTTTAGATTTTTTATATTTAAAATGAGATAATTATCCAGAATTTGATTATGTTTATCTGTGGTTGGTTACACAAGTTCAAACATAGAGCTTTAATAAGTTGTACATACGGATAATTTACTTGTAATCTTGAATTTTAAGTAATATGCATCATGAAACAATACTTAATGCATAAAAAATGGTTTTAAGAGTTTTTGTCAAATGCTATATATATATATATATATATATATATTAATTAATTAATTAATTAATTATATTATATATTATTTATTCCTATTAAATCGGTAAATGATAATTTTTATTTCAATATATTTTGTATATTACTATATGTGGTTTTGGATATTACTCCATATGTTTTGGTACATGTGGTGTTAATTTTTTTAGATTAAATTTATTTATTTTTGTTTTCCATTGTTAATTATTATATAATGATGTATATTTTTTTATTAAATTAAATTTCTTTTGATTTTAGATTTATTGGAAAAATATGAGATTTAAACATGTGTAGCGTCTCACACATTTGATTTAATTTTTTTTTACACAAACATGAAAAAAAATCCCCGTTTCCCCGCTGGGAATCCCCGTTCCCCGTTGGAGACGGGGATGAGGATGTTATCAAATTCCCCGATGGGGATGGGGATATGGACGGGGACAAAGATCGGGGATCAGGGACGGGGATTGGGGTCCTCGCCCCATCCCGGCCCCATTACCATCCCTAGGTTGTGGCTTACGAGCTGCATAGCCTATATGGCTTATTCGGTAAGCCATAAAGAACTGTTCAGTTGTGGCTTAATACTACAGCTAGGTGCTTATTCGCACAACCAAGGTAGACATGTCCTTAGCCCTCAATCATAGTTATTCTAGAAACTCCCCTTATCACATTAAATGGACACATACGCCTCCACAAGGAAAACCTACCAGATCTATGATATGAGCTCTCTCACAGTAGGTCATCGCCTCCTGCCCCATCGTAGGTCAGCTAGCTCATCCTCTCTCATCGTTGGTCATCTCCTCCTCCATCATCGATCACCTCCTCCTCCCCCTGTCGTCAGTCATCACCTCTTCCCCTATCGCCGGTCATCGCCTTCCTCCCTGGTCGTATAGTATAGATTTCTTCTTCATCTTTTTCACTCATTGTTGTTTTTAAAGAAATATCGAGAGGTTTAAGTATGATTTTAGTGAGTTTCTTCCAGGTTACCGTAACTCCTCTTCCCCCTTCTCCCCTTTGCAAACACCAACAGCAGCCCCAAAAAATAGGAAGAAAAACAAGCCGGTTGTCAAGAACCCTAATCAAACAAGAAAACCAAGTTGTCAAAAATCCTAATAAAACAAAAGAACCAGTTGCCTTGAATTAGGTTTCAAGAATTTTGATGTTGGAAAGGGTTCCGATGGGTTGTTCTGAATTCTCCAATAGTTTTTGTTTTCTTCAAACTTAACATCAATAACTTTATAACTAAAATTCACTTACTCAACATTTTTATCAAACACTACAAAAATATAAACTGGGGGTAAAATGATCATTTCTGACATCCAGATGGTTCATTCAGCACAAAAATCGAACAACAACTTATCTGTCATTATACAGACATCTTTATCCATACATGTTTTAATAGAAAACGGACCGTACAACCCCTTACAAGGTAAGCTTTAAGTAAACGACCAATAGCTCACTAAGCATATTTTTATAGTTGTGGCAACCAAATTTCAAATTTCACATTTTAGCACCAATTTTGAACAATTGTTTTCAATTAAGTTGGCACAGAGAGTTTTGTAGATAATGGGCAAAACTGACCCCCGACTAACAAAAATGATTACCAACAGAATCCGGGGAAACTGAAACCAATGTTTTTAAAATTTTATATTTTAGCCCATGTTTAACAAAATCATTACATATTAGGGGCTGTTTATCAAAAAATTTAACACTATTAATTACTTACCGGGTAAGATTTTAGTCCATCAAAACGACATTGTATTCAACAATTCACCCGGTAAACGCTTACCATGGTAAGAGTCGTCGCCCTAACTTACCGGGTAAGACTCATGGTCCTTGTCTCGCTTTTACCGGGTAAGATTCTTAGTCCTTACCATATTCATCCGGTGAGATAATGTGACTTGGTAAGCGCTTATCCGGGTAAGTTGTTAAACTTGCAGTACATTGCAATTAACTATTACATGGTCATACACAACATTTACGTAAGAAATTGACAAAATCATGAGATACTGCTCATACAAATGTCTTAATCTGTTTATAATTTATATTCTCTTCATTCTTGATCGTTGTCCAAAGTCCGTCACTGTCTCCTAACTCCTTCATCCTCCACCGTTGACACCTACTTAGGTCAGCATTTTCAATTACGTTTCACAGTTTGTCCGACTACTCCTCTCTAAGAGAGGGTTAGGGTTCGTATTCCACCATTAAGCAGCAGAGGTGTTCATACCCAATAACCTATTTATAGGATTAAAAGAAAATAAATAATTACAATTACGTGCATCAAAATTCCAATGATAGTTAAAAAGGGCTGTTTTCTTCAATTCTTCTTTCAATGGAATGAATGGTCCATGGTAGTGTTAAACTTTATCGGTGAAGTGTTTGGTAAACGATCCATAAATAACCTAAAATTAGTTTCTACATTTTAAGATTATATAGTCCGTTCGAGTGTCAATGTTACTATTTTAATATGTTTTAAAATAAGTGTCTAGTTTGAAAAGTAAATTTATGCTTTCTCATTCTACTCTTATGTTGTGTTCTTGAAACCTTTTTTTACGAAAGAAAGGGAGGAAGATAAAAAAAAAAAACCCGTGTTCTCGAAACCTTTTTTACAAAGAAAAAGGAAGGAAGATAAAAAAAAACCCGTGTTCTCGAAACTTTTTAGGAGAAAAAGGAAATGAAACTTAAGGAAAATAATGATAAGTTTTTTTCCAAAACTTCGTTACAAATGTGGGAGAAAAGGAAATGAAATTAAAATCTTTCTGATAATTATTAGAATTAAAAAACACTCCAAACAAACTCTCATTAAATATCATATATATTTAAAAAAAAAATACATCTTTCATTTCCTTTTTCAATTTTTAAGAACATGATTTTTTTTATTAATCTGGATATCCAACCCGCTATGCAAGCCGACTAATCCCAGTGTGATCACCTGCTTTGCATATAGCCTGGAGTTACCACATTTGAACCTTCGTGGCCACAAAGGGATTTTTATTTCTCCTTGGATTTGAATCTGAGACCTCCTGCTACTTTTGACCTTTGAAACCAAGCTCAAACCAATCATGCACCACCCTAGGACCTCCTTGGATTTCCTTTTCTTTTCTTTCCTTCCATCTCGAGAACATAAATAAAAAAATCAATTTTCTTTTTCTTTTATTTAATTCCTAAATTCGAGAATGCAACATTAACAATTATAAGGTGGAGAAAATTCTCTCTCTATAATTAAGCACAAACTTGTCATGTTCAATAAAAAAAATGTAATAATTACACATATTTTTAGGGATGGTGATT